AGACACCAATTATTACAAGTTCTTAGGTTACAAAAAGCAGTAAAATTGAATTTTACAGAACACACAACAGCAAGGGCACATTGTTGGAATTTCTTAACTGCAGCCAGTGTCAACAGATGATAATACTGGTACTAGAAATCTGTCTTTAAGCCCATTTTGGAGTTAGAAGCTGTGCCCAAGCCTTAGCTCCATATTGTAGCCCTTTAGGTAAGCGTTGCTGTCTTGGAATCCAACCGTGAAAGCTGAGCAGCATCCTCAGCCCTGCCCCCATTGCTGGTCCTTGCATATATTGAAGGCTGCTCCAAGAATGCTGAAGTTCACCTCCTTTACATCCTTACAATGCTAACAGATGTATTTGTTTATAATTTTATTCAGTTATATAATCAGCACATAAAACAATCATGCTGGATTTTACAATGTCCCAGAGAAGCTGCAAAGCTAGAAGCCATTTCCTGACGTCCAAGAGGTTAAACCATCAAATAAAGCTACACCTCTCAAGAAAACTTTAAAAGGTTGTTGCAAGCCATGATGAGATGCTGAGCAGCTGATCACAGGAATCGCAAGGTAAAAACATCTCCCTCTGCAAAAATGTACGTGACATTCCCTCAGCTTGGGATTTTTCTCATCCAGTGTCATCATAGTCTTATTTCCCTTCCTCATGTGTTTTCATGGGTTACTTTCAGTGGAGAAAACCTCAAAATGTGAAGATGCGGCATTTTACTTGTTTTCCTCAGTTGAGAGTCATTTCTGCTTGCCAGCTTTGCAGTCACAGAACTGCAGTATTACAGGGGCAAATATCTGTTGTCAGGCATGCAGCGTTACTGCTCATGTGGATTTCTCCCCAGTAGCTGGGAGGAAATGTTCTTGTTTAGACAAAAATATCAAATGGTCAGGAATTAAGGAGTTAGAAAAAGCTGTATACAAGGTTCATGCTTGAGAAACACAAAGGCACAGAAGATGTAGCCACTAAGAAAATTCCACTGGACATTAAGTAACAATAATTTAGATCTGTTCATTTCTGGTAAGTCAGCCATTTTACTGTTGACCTACTTTGTATCAGCAATAATTTGCTACAGTGCATTCTCCAACTGCTACTGAAAGAAAGGTTGAAACCATGCATTAAGAGCATAGTGTCAAAGCAAGTGATGTTAATTACACCCTGCAATTCCTATGTTGATGAAATTGTCACTGCTAACCATTAATACAGCATTTACTGTCTAAGCCCAGCTTGCTCTACCAACCCTTGAAAGCCACCGAATTAACATCCTGCTTCACAATGTTCACTTTATGCCACATTGGAATGTAAATCTGAAACACGTAAAAATAACCTCTGCTATTACACCAAGAATGTGTAAACACACATTCCTTTTTAGGAGAGCTATTTATCTCCAGTCTATACATGTTTCACTCTTTAAACTGAAAGCAACTTTAATGTTCCTGAGTCAAGTGGCAGCCTTTGCCAATATAAACTATTTTCCCTAAAAATTATGGCATCAAGTAGAGGAAACTTCGTAAAATGTAGAGTGCCGGTTGATTTATGGAAATTCAGAAATAAGCTTTACATAGATACCCAAAAAAAGAAAAGCAGCAACATCCTTCATTTTATTCATTGCTAACCAGTGCAAAACCAAAAGATCATATTCTCCCAGCATAAGTAAGCAGGGTTAATTAGAAGGACACCTTATGCGGATTTAGTGTTCATGTTCAGTGACATCTGCCTAATTTGGTGACAGAAATGTTTACAAGCACCAGCATGAACCAACCTCTGCAGGAGCATTAACTGGATTCTTTATGGTTTGCACATCAGTAAACTGTTTTGCAAGGTCCTATTGCTGCAGTGCAGTTCCCCCTGCTTCTAAATCACCTCTCAAGCTACTTTTACCCATTGAAATTGAAGACATTTGAAAGCATACAGGCTTAACAATATTTAGCCTTCAGAATTGTCATCACTAGCTATGACACAAGACAGCACAACTTGATCTTCTGATCCAAGAATACTCTTTTTAGTGATGAATAGGAGAGACTTCTTTATCCTATGAACTGATTCAACACAAGATACAACAAAAGTAGAAGCTGGTGATGGTGTTTTCCCATCAGAAGAGTGCTTTGCATAGGTTACTTCCAAATTATCATTTTGACTGACAGAGCAAACCAATAATAAGAAAATACCCTGGCATGATGAGGCCTGTCATACAGATCTACCATAAAATCTTTGCAGTCAGCAGAAAAGTAGAAAACTAAAATCAGCATTATTAGTAATTGAATGAAAGCCCTCACATCTCTATTCAGACCTAAGAATGATCCTAAGATCTACAGGGAGAAAAAAAATCATGGTCCAAATGACTGCTTAAGCCAGATGTAACATCTTCAGAATAAGCAGGAAAAAAAAAACCCACACAACTGCGAAGAGAACAGAAGAACAGAGATTCTTAGAGGATACATATAATACAACTCTCTATAGGAGCATCCTTACAGAACATGAAACACAAAAGTAAACTCGAGTGCATAGGATCCGATACCCCACATAGCACAGCGGGGGAACATGCTGTGAGAAAAAGAAACAGTTGCTCACCTGGTATAAACTAGAAGGCAATTATACACTTTATAAAGACATTCACTGAATGGTCAGCAGGTCTGAGCAGACTGGCCTGTCACTCTAAGAGGAGCTGTAACATTAAAGCTGCAGACAGCAGAGCCTGCCCTCAGAACATCAACAGAACAACAGGATTATTCAGTGCTTCACAAGGAAAGTCCATCTAATTTAACTAACGTGCACTGGGCAAGCAGGTCTTGAATGTGCTCTCTCATCTCTAATATTTGCTTTAAAATAAAAACTTGCTGGTTTAATAATGGCACCTTAAATGAAATTCAAAAGCATTTAGCTTAGTGCACTGTTTGTTCTACCTGCACCGAAACACAGGATTGGCACCAGCCTGCTCTTACAGCCATACTCCATTTCTCTCAGGAGTCCTTCCTATGCCCTGCTGCCCACGGCACGCTAAGTACTTTCAAAAATCAGACAAGGGCACATTGTGTGCACTTCGGGGTATATTTAAATTCCAGCTGGAAGAAATCCCAACAACTCTGAGGACACAGGTTGTACCAATTACTAGTTACAGCTGCAGTTAAAAATTATGCCATGAATGAAAGCACACTACCGTAAAAGGACTAAAATGTTAACCATCTAAGGGAGCAGGCTCATTCTTGGTGCAGTGGCACATGCCAGCCTCACAGATAGAATATTTGCTGCCTCACAAAACTATGCTTATCAAAAAGAAAGTATTGACAGCTGATGCTTTCACAATGTGTACAGCTCATGTCAAAGACCAACTATGCAGCTACCCTTTCTGATGCTGCTCTTACTGTGCAGCAAAAAAGACCCAAGCACAGCTCAGTCAGCAGCAAGCTTCATGAAAGTTTAACATTGCTTTACAGGAAGTCAAGCTCAATGTTTTTCTTTATATTTGGATACATTTATGCTGCCTGTGGACACGTAACAGCCACAGAAATGTCTTTTTTGAGTACTGCTTGAATAAATCTCTTGCTCACAGACTTGATGTAACTTGAAAGCATCATCTTAAAAGTAGTAGAGTTTTTAAAGCATCAAGATGTGAACCTAAACTGACTCTATGCAAGAATAACACCTGTACTTTTAAAGCAAGCTTATTCTGAAGCTTTGGCAATAGATCTATTATTGTCAGATCCAGATACTGAGCAAGCTCTTTAAAGTTCACTGCTTCAGGAGCATTAAGGCTTCTACCACTCTATGCAAGCAAGTCACAGTACTAGAGAAGGCCTAGGAATATTTTAAAGTGCTGAATGTTGACATACATATGCAGATCATAGTAAAAATAGTATTTGTAAAGCTGAACTTTCAAAAAAACAGTGGGAAAGAAATTGGTAACAAGAGCTAGACACTTGGGTCTAATGTTTTGCTTATATATAATCAGTTATACTACAGATCAGAAGGCAAAGGTTTGTACTGGAAATAAAACTCATTACTATCACCACACTGTAAAGGCTCAGGGTTGGACAGGAGCTGCCACAATGCACAGCAAGGCAGAAGCTCAGTCCTACCCACAGCTAGCAAGCTTAGTTGGCAAATAACGATTGTTTTCTTTTCCTTCAGAGCAACAGCAGCAGTTCTTGTAACTGAAGTGACCAAGTTGGGTAGGCCTTTTATTAGACACTCACAGAACAAAGTACACAGGAGATAAGGAACAAAAAGTTCTTGAGTTTTACTCCAGCACTTCAACAAGTGTAAATAGTGGTAAGGAATTTTTCTCAAGTGTAACTAACCACTGTGCTGTATACAAATGACATTAGTGTGGTGCTTAAGTGAATCACATCTCCACATCATTCATTAACTTTGAATACACATATAAGTATGGGCTTCTCTTTTGCCTCAACCAGCCTTTTAAGTTTGGGAAAAAAGATCTACATACCTTTTGTTGAATCCCATCTTAATGATTTCTAAAGTGAAAGTCTTGCATCTGAAGAAAGCAAAAGGCGAGCAACCTTTCTGTAGAGTGGTTAACCTGCTCTTAAGGCTAAGGGACACTTGTCCCAGAAACTCTTATTGAGCAGGGAATCCATCAGGGAAGAACTGAGGACTTGTGAGCAAGTAGGTCAAAATGGACATTTAGATTTGCTATATCCTTCATCAGGAAGCCAAGTAAACTTTAATCCTCTGGATTTATTCAAGTCATCTTTGGTGGATGTTATTTCTGTACCTTTTCCTCATATCCTGGAATTATTGGCCCTGGAGTTATTTCCACATTGACTGATTTAAAAAGATTTAAAGTGACATGTACACCATTGTGTTTCCCTCAACTTCCCAAGCATTTATATACGAGGTCTTCATTAATCCATGTCTGCACCAAGTGTTCTCTAGCATCAGGGTGCCAGTGATGTTCTTACGCCTTTATAGTACCTATTTCATTTCTACTGTGAGACAAAAATAGTTTAACTGATCCTATATAATCACGACAAGAGATTAATTAAAATGCCAAGATAGGAAACAATTTATTATAGAGAGAAGAAAAATTTCTCATCCAAAATATAGAAATCTGTACAACTTTGCCACAATCAATATACATGAACTGTACAAATTTACACCAGTTCATAATTTACCAAATAAAAGATGACTAACAAAGTTCACAAAATAGATGGTGGTTTGTGGAAAAGACTTTTACCCAATTAAGAACAAGGAAATTACAAACCAGACCTCCACTTTCTAAAAATAAGAAGTTTACTCAGTCTTAGAAAACTACAAGCTAGCAAATGTACAGATAGCTGGCTGGTGCTAACACCACAGTTCAGACAGTGTCTTTATATGGTCTTTTTAAAGCCTGTTGCCATGGCAGATTCTGATCACTTGCTACTTTTGAGGCCAATGTAAAGATCTGACCATTTCCCCAGGTCATACTTACTAGTTTCTTATGTACATTTATAAATACTTTAAGTGCTAGGTAAAAGTCTGAAAAATAAAATTTCCAGTACTACGGTGTTCATAAGTCTTGTTATTGAGCTGCCAAAAATGCTAACAATTAATAAATGTAATAGTGCAAATTTACTCTGCAAGACCTACTGCAGAGAATCACTTTATAAATACAGATTGGAGTTGAAAATTGGTGTAGAAATTAAGTAAGATGTCTTGGAGAAACTGACTCTTCCTAGATCTTCTTCACTCCCTAGCAAGTTGCAATCATTTTGACTCACAGGCTATTAAATCACTGAAAGGTACTGTCCAAACTATGGCACTGTCACTTTAAAGTATACCACTCTAACGTGTGCCAGATCTTCACAGCTGTGACATGGTTTAAATTCCATAATCCATCCCCAGAGGTGCCCACCCAAAGTAAAAACCAAATTTATCCATCCATTTTAAAGGTGATCCATCCACAGACTATATCTTAACCTGATACAGTCATCATATTGTAGCTTTTGGAAGGGCTAGTTCTGCCCAAGAGAAGTTCCTCCTTACAGCTTATTCTGCTGTCTACCATTTGCATGTTGGTGTTATTTTGGCTACCTCCTGCTGGTGCAGCTTCATACAGCACACAGATGGAGCCATCCTCTCCAATACGATAGGACACTTCATACGGGTCAACCCATAGAGTGAGTTCGCTTGGAAGAAGCTGGAACAGTTCCTGACTGCTCAATCCAATCCGCTGTGCTGCCTGTCCAATGAGAGGATCCATTTTATGGTTGATCCGGATACATCGGTAACCTGATCCCTTGCATGGCTTTTCTGGGAACCAGTGGTGTTTATAATGTTCTATAAAATAAAATAATACAAAAAAAAGATTATCCTCCTTAATTCTGTATTCAAAAATATGTACAGTGATCATTGTTCTCTTGTAAATTTCACACCTCAAGATGTCAAAAAGCTTATTTTTGCATCAAGTGACCTGAAAAATCATTACAGCCTTTATTTTTGCTGATGGTTTACGTAAGTGCAGCGTCCCTCGGGAACTACTCATGTACAAAGTTACTGTTTCGTGCTACTATATACAATGCCTGCCATCTGAAAATAGTGACATGCAACTTTCTGGCATTCATAGAAACTAACAAAAATACAGAAGTGATTACACACATAGCGAAAAACTCCAGGACTTCAAAACTCCACAAACCAAGAAAGAAAAAAGCACCTTTCCAGCATCCTCTTGATGACACCCGTGCTTAGCTCCTCACATTCTAAGAGCACCCAAAAACAACTGGGGAAGGAGCTGGGCAACATTCACCGACTGACTCAAGCTGTATTTCACCACTGCTCTTCCCAGCCTGTTTTCCAGGGCGAGACACCAATGACTTCACTTACCTCAGGAGTTTCATCCCACCCAAAACCCCATCAGTCTCAGGCTCCTTCGAGCCACTATCAAGCACGCTGGGACACAGGCTCGGGATTACAAAACCCACAGGGCAGCAAAGCAGCCTTCAGTATTTGATCCTAACCAGGGTTGGCGGGTGGCTATGAGATGTTTCCAGAAAGAAGGAGAACTGACACTTAACATCCACCGGTTTATTTTACTTGACAAAAAAATTAAAAAGCAACTTCGCAGCATTTTTCCTTCTAGAAAACGGGCGGTTGGAGACCTTGGAGCGGAGCCCAAGTCCCGGCTGCTCCGAAAGCTTTGTCTACGGAGCC